GTGGGAACCCTCTTGAAATCCACATTCCCAGATGCCAGCCAAAGGCACATTTCATAAGCAGGTCTTTCAAAGCACAGCGGTCATGCTTGCTATGTTAACTCTTTTTACACAAATGATAAACACCAGGTATCACAACTAGGCAGAATGAGCAGAGGTACAACAATTACTTTAAAAGTCTGATTAGAATCCTTTAAAATATAGATGTCACCTGTGCTGGCTGTGCTGCTTGCCTTCCCAGACCCGTACCTGAGGGCAGTCCTCAAGTTAATACACACCATACTGTCATTCCAGGAAATGGTATCTTAAATTGGCTAAGCAAATAAACACGTAAATAAAGTCAGCAAGCGAGTCAACCTTCTTCTGTTGATTTCCGATGACTTTTCTGAATATGTTTACACTTATTGGAAACTATGGAATTGTGTTCATATTATTGAAAAGAAAATGCACCAATCAGTGCTTTTGCTCAACTCAGTTCAGACTCTGACTCTCGCACAGGAGGTCTTAATCTGCAGCAGTTTGGTAAAACCCGTAGAACAGGCCTCATTTCAGAAGGGCTGCTTTAAATGCACAAAATAAAATACATAGCATTGCAAAGGAAACACATTATACTGAAATCCAGTTATCAAAATATTAAAAAGTAATTCACAAGATAGTAATCTGCCTGCTTTTTTATTAACACAATAACATCACCTAGCAGCAGGTCTAATAACTACCATGATTATTAAGCAGTGATGAGTGTAAACAACATTTCAGGATATCTTCAACAAATACAGTATGATACAAAAATATCTATGATTTATTTTGGTACTTCTAATAATACTGTAGTTTGTTACCAGCCTTTATAATTATAAAGGAAAAACTAAATTTCACTTAGAAGTTAAAGAAACTAAAGATGTAATAATTTTTCTCAGCCAAATTTACAGGCCCCAGGTAAAATTTTCAGGCTTCTAGTATCACAAGATCAAAGGTTCATTAAATCATCGCATTCAGTTCACCAACTGTTGGACCAAGAGCGAGCAGACTTGTTTCATTTGACCATAGTATTTAAAAAACAAAGCAAATTAGTTACCAAACTAATGTGATTTCAACATAAAAAATCATACTGTTGGCTTCTCAAAGAAAAAAAAAATATGCAAACCACGCAACACTGGGCTGCATTCCAGCAAGGCAATGTGCAACCAGACTGAGCAGCAGCTACCTGTTTCACATATGGTGCGAACTCTCCAGCCTTCACAGCCACATTAACCTTGCCCCACTCACGTGTGTTAGCTACCTGGCTCCTGTAGCCACATTGTTTTGTTTGATTTTTGTTTGTGTGTGTGTGTGTGTGGCCACCTCTTGTATATGGTATTTTCCATTTCATGGTAACCCTCTGGCTAGGTGGCAAGTAGTAGAGATTTGCTTTCTAATAAAGGGGGAGAGAATTCTGTTTGCATACCCACTGTTATCCCCATCTACCTTCCAGTCCCCTACTTTCAGCAACTGACACACAAAGCCAAAGGGAAGCTAAGTGTTTTGGTAAATAAAGTTTTACTGAAGGACAACTACACTCATTTATTTATATACTATCTTTGGCTGCCGCTAGGGACTGAATTGTGTCCCCCCAAAACTCATAGATGGAAGCCCTAATCCCCCAATGTGATGATATTGACGAGAGGGTTTGGGGAGGTTATTAGGTTTACGTGAGGTCATGAGGGTGGGGTCCTCAGGAAGAGATTAGTGCCCTTATAAGAAGAGACACCAGAGAGATCGCTTCCTCTCTCTCTCTCCCCACCATGTGAGGACATAGCAAGACATCTGTGAACTAGGAAGAGAAGAGCCCCTACTGGGGAACCAAATCAGCCAGCACCTTGATCTTGGACTTCTCAGCCTCCAGGACTGTGAGAAATAAATTTCTGTTGTTTAAGCCAGCCAGTCCACACTGTTTTGTTGTGGAACCCTGAGCTAAGACAGCTGCTTTCATGCTACAACGGTGAAGTCGAGAAGCTGAGACAGAGACTGTATGGCCCTCAAATCCTAAAATATCTACCACCTGGCCCTTGACAGAAAAAGTTTGCCAAAACCTGCTCTAGTTGTTGGATGAAATTACCAGTTATAGTTCTAAACTTTTTATATAGAAGGGCTTAAGGATGGTTAGTGAGAGTTATATTTACATAACGAGTATCTTATTTTTCCTTAATGGAGATGGAGGCAAGCAGCGAAGGCACAATCACATTCCTCCCTTTTGCGGCCACCGAGAACTGAACACTATAAAAACCTCTCCACTGAGCCACCCTATGTGTCCTGGGGCCAGAGCCGGAATCTATGATGGCTGAAAATTTGGGTCCAAGACTGTTCCCCTGACTTACCAGGAGTGTGCCCTTAATTAATGGTTATACAGCTATGAGATATCAATACGTACTAAGGACATAGGTTTGATTATACTATTCCCAACAAATGTTCACTGCAAGAATGCTCACAATGATAGCAATATGAACAAAATTTTTTTATTAATAATAGCTCAATGGGGAACAAAGTTAAAGTGACTAAGTGAATGAGAAGCTCCATAAACTGTTGACAGTGTGTCTGTGGAATATTGCCGTAGAAAAAAAATGTCAGCTACTTTGACAACTCAAAGCAACATGGCATAGTCTAAAGAATATGGCTTTAAGAACCAGACAGAGATTGATTCAAATCCTGGCCCTGACCCATAATTTATTTGGCAACTAGCTGTCCCACCCTCAGAACCCCAACCTCATCATCAATGAGATGGAGATTATACCGCCTCATCTGTGGGTTATTGACAATTAATAAGATTAATTATTAGAAGTAAAATATGTTGAAGTTCATGGGTAATAAAATAGGCTTTCAAAACAGTAGTTATGCTCATGGATCATTGGAGGATATTTTCTCACAGTTTCTCTCTTTTATGAGAATACTTTTTTGTGACAATAAACACACTGATTGACAATACACCTGTCCCCACATTTTGCCAAGTTATTGAAACTGTCCATCAGTTTCAGAAGGGTGGAATTATTTTTTTAAAAAAAACAGATACAGGTTGTAACAGGGCACGGGTTAGAAAGAGAAGAAGCCATTCACTGTAACTCGTGCACCGGCATCTGCAGAGGTAAGGGCACCACTCCTGGGGCCCACGAAACAACACGGGCTTTCTGTCTCCAGCTTCTCTTCCTACCAGAGGTAGCCACGCTGGCATGTGCACTCAGCTTGCAGAACCTGCGTGTGTGTGTGTCTGAGACAGAGAGATGCGCACATGCTCAGATGTGTGAAAGAGAAAGAGAGGTAACAGAGCTTTGTGATGGATTCATTCTGAAGAACCAGAATTTATTTTCTACTAGTGAGTTGTCTTAATTATCCCTCTTTGACACTTTGCCTTGCAAACAAATCAATTGGTTATTTGATAGTAATCCCTCTGGCCCGAGTTTCCTCGCGTGTTTTAAGAGAAAATAGCTGCCTTTTTTTCACAGGAATATTACAAACATCAGATGAGATACTGTGTAAACAACATGCTTTGAGGGGGACAGTGACAAATGTCTGTTCTGAGGACTGTAACGACGATGGATAGCAGTTTCAGTAATCTCATAGTATGTGGGAAGATTTCAAAACTGGCAAAATTTATATTGGAGAAGACCTAATAGGATATAAGAATTTCAAATATCTAACAGGCTGCCTTGTAGAGGAGGAGTTTGTCATTGGAGAAGCTAGAGCAGAGACCAAAGCAGACATATTTATGGTTAATACTAAAAGGGACTCGGGCTCCCTAACAAATAAGCAAGGAACTTCCATTTTTAGTTCCTATTTGGCACCCCTCTTTCCCATTCATCACTGCCTTAACTTTCACCTACTTGTACAAACATACGTTTCACAGATTTGTGTTTCACATAATAGTTACACTTAGCTGTAAGTTCCTCGAGCACAGGGACTCCGTATTTAGTCTCTGTGATCTTGAGAGCTCTTTACATTTTGTCTTGCAGGTTGGATGCTCAATAACCATTTATTAACAAAAACATAAACTGAAAATGCTATTCAAAGACAGATCAAATATTGCGACACAGCTAGTACAAATATGAATCCTGCGGTCTTATCCTCTCTTAGAACCTGGGGTAAAGAATTACATTGATTTGCTTATGCTCATTTCGATGTTGCTACAGTAGAGATGTTAATTTGTCTCTTGGCTTGATTTTGTTTCCTCTGTGTTAACTTCAGTGAAGCTTCTGTTTAAGAGGGTAGTGGAAGGGAAGACTTGTTATTTCAAAATACTTCACCATAGACAGGCAATCATTTTAGATGAAATGCCTTAAGTGCAGTTATCCAAACATCTATTTCATTCTTGGCAATAAAAGAACCCTAAGCAATGTCCAATGACCTATAAATCAGAGCTAGGAGATTTCTTTATGCAAATTAAATTTGTGTCACATTCATCAATAAAGAAGAAAACGGCAATGAAGATTAAATTTTCAACAGCGTGCAAAGTAAAGGATTCCTATATCTATTTGTAGGATATGTCAGTGTGGCTAATTATTTTTTGAGATAGTGTGCTTTGAAAAAATTAATGAGCTTTAGGAATTGATTATTAAATGAGAAGGAGGGTTTAAAGGGAGTCAGGAATACAAAATAGGCAACCAGTTTGATTAACCCTACCAGCTTTAAAAAATTCCACACAATAAACTAAGAGATACTAATATTAATTTTATGGCAGTATTATAAACCCCAAGAGCTAACTAATTATATTATAGTACAGTTTGCTTGCTTCTCCTCAAGTCTGTTTTTAATTTTGCATTTAAATGATAAAGATTCAGATCTTTACCCACGTACTCAAGGGTATTTCCCCCCTTAAAAAGTAAACAAAATATAAAGAAAGGGAAAGAAAGTTGTGTCGCTTTACATTGATGAGAATGGACTGCTGCAAAATGAAATAACTTTTGCACTCCTCAGCTAATAGAGTACAACATAGTCACCCTCTAGATACTAACAAGGGGATGTGCATCCAAACAACATACCCGTTTCCTTAGATTGCAGGTAAGAGTGAGATTCCTTGAGAAAGAGTTTGCAAAAGCCGTGTAAAAGTCCAGGACTTTGAGCAAGGCTTCTCGCTTGATGATGTGGAGGTCACAGTATGTCAGGGCTCGGACGTTGGCACACGCGTGAGCAAGGGTGGTTTCCTTCCAGAAGATATCTCCAAATACATCACCTTTCCCTGGAAAAGACAACAGGATATGTGTTTAAGTATCTGTACTAGTTCTTATCTTAATCACTATTTTTATTCATTGTCATATATGGTATTGATCTTCTGGTATAATTTAGAGCCTTCAGTGTATAACCCCATCTATATACATATTACAATGGACAACACTTTCCTATAATATGTAAAGTAACATCACCTTGAATTCAGTTCTTGTTGGAAATCTGGAGTGGTATGAGTAAGCGTAGTCCAACAGAAAAGCCAAAAACCTCCTATTAACAAATAGTTTCATTAGCCTCTGTCACCTTAAGTTTTCCCATTCTGATTAGAAGGAACAAAGGTGACATCTTAGTTTCATCCTTTCTTCTGCTCCTTCTGGTAGAGATGACAGTAAAATGCAATAAATAAGGATCTACTGTTAGAGCCTTTATAAACCTGCAACTGACTTGACACGTATTAAACATGCATTATTCAGCAACTAAGTCTGGCACTCCAGGCAGGCTAAATATCACCACAACTTATTCCCCCAGGATGCCCTTCCCTCTCCAGCGAGTCAAACCATATGCAAAGCCTCAGGGCCCAGCATGAGAGCTCCTACAATTACAGAGCCTAAGGAGTTGAGTTGGGTAAAACATGGAGACCCAGATTTGTTACGCCAAAAACAGTTCCATAAAGAGTGCTATACTGTAGTCAAATGTGGATGTCTTTTTAAAATTCTAGAAATCGCAGAGAACTCAACCACGCACTTCAGAGCACCATCCACTGGTAACCTGAACTCAGTAGTTCAGCATCCCAAATCCAGAGTACTTAGTTGGCCAAATAAGTGGGGCGGAGAATGAGGAAGAGTCAGAGATTAAGTCCCAAAAGGGCTTTCTGCCTTTGACAGTTCCATAAGAGCCCTCCACTTCTGAAATGTCTTCAACTGTCTTCTTTGTTTTTCTGTGGGAAAGCAAAAGTTTTAAAGTGGAAAAGATGGGAATATATTCAGGTGGGAAAAATCTTCCTCTAAGAAGACTTATTCTTTCCACACTCTAACCACAGAAATGGGCAAATATCTGCTCTCAACATGAAGATTAAAGTCAGAACTGACAGGAAAGGAGGAAGAAGAAAGACATCTTACAACACTTCAGGCCAGCTAGGCCCAGAGAGAAAAGACAATGTGTAACCAGAGAAATGAAAGAGAAGTTGACTGAGTGAGATTACAGATGGTTTGGAAATCCTTAGAGAACCCAGAGCCACTCTGGGATAGAAAGAAAACATGAATATCATTGGGGGGAGGTGGATAAAACCACCATGCGACCATATGATCAGCATAAAATAACCATATTGAATATTTAATTAATCTTGAACAATCTCATTTGTTTCCAGACCCTCTAAAAATTCTTTTTAGTTAGTGACACTGATGAACAACTCAACTAACTGTCTAATAGCCACATATTTGTCCAAGGAAGGAAAATTAGAGACCCGGGATCCAAATAAGGTGTGTGGGGTTATACAGCATTGTGATAACCTATGGGAGACTTTAGCTACAGAAACTTAAAAGATGAACCCTCCCTCCACTCACACAGATGAATTTCAGAAATATGTAAATGGTATTCTCTTTAAATATATAATTCCAATTATGGGTATTTATGCTAACTGTTTTATCAGAAGTACCAAATTTACTTATAAAAGTGTTCACTGAAGTGACATTTATAATAACCAGAAAAGGTAGACAAGATAAACGTGAATGAATGAATGAATAAATAAATAGTGGAATATTATGCAGCTAAAAAATATCATAAATTGAAGAAAAGTGACAGAGAAAGGTTCACATTATTGAAAATAGTAAAAGTAGAAAGTTAATTCACACATATAGCATGATCTCATTTTATGCACCCTATCCTTCCCAGAAATACTCAAATGTACACACAAAGCGAATACATCAAAATGATAGGTTATCTGTGCATTATGGGATAATGGATGGATTTTATTTTGACTTATAATTTACATGTATTACTTTTTAAACAGAAGAGATCACCAACTGTTATATTATCATAGTCCCTGGTGCTATGAAAATAACAGGGCTTCTAAAAGGCTGCTTCAATCTACCTCTTGTGTCTTTTCCTCTAACAGCATTGCTACTTTCTATACTGGGGTTTTTCCTTGAAGAGATAGAAAAAGGATTACATTTCTTTCTGATTGATTTCAATTACCCTCTCTCAAATAATCACTGATAAGACAACCTCTAACCCATTTGTAAGTGCTTGTTACTATTCAACTATTTGATTTTCATATATAGTTACTACAACTATAATCAATGCCTTTGACTCAACAATTTCAGTTCTGGGAACTAATGAAAAGATTTAGAACCAACACATGTAATATTCACTGTAGTATTATTAATCACAACCCCAGACTGGCAAAAATAAATAAGTAAATAAAATGTCCAACAACAATGGAATTGATCTATCCATATATCAAGTATTAGTCCATACAGAATTAAAACTAGTTTTTGAAATAACATTCAAAAAGTGCTTACCTTATAATGTTAAATGAAGAAATAAAGATACAAAGAATAATTATTATGGTTATAGCTATAGTAAAGTATATAAAAATAAAACTGAAACCCCAAGACTAAAAGAATTGTTAATTAAAAGTGTACTTTTCTTAAAGAAAAATAATCTTGATAGAACCAAAGTATATTGTATTTTATTATTCTATGTTATTCTATATAGCATATGTTATTATCAGTTTGTCAGCTGATAATAAATTTTGTTAAAAACCAAAAGGGATACAAGACTATATGAAAATGCATTTAAATAATTACATCGATTTGCTGAAAGTGATGTGTTTATTGTTTTTCTTCTTTCTACTTTGTGCTTTCCAAAGTTTTCTCTAATGAATCTGACTAACTTTTATTAAAAATAGCAAAAAAAAATTTTCACAGATGTCTTTCCCTATACTTTTTAATAAAACTGAATTGATAAAATACATATATGGATCTACGGAATAGTAAATAAATATTCATTGATTGATAAGTGCATCATCAATAGGTAAAAGATACTCAATACATAAATGAACTCCCCCATATCAATATAGACCATTTTTAATCGTAGAGGCATTCAAATGTCTGTTATATATTTTATTTTACCTAACTGATGAAATTAAAATTCTTACCACATTTCTATCAAAAACTTTAAGTTTAAATTATTTACCATTTTAGTCTCAGGGAAAAATAAAAAGCCTATTATGTGGAAAGAATAGCGTTAAACTCGAATATAAACTCATGAGAGCACAGAATTTTCTCCGTTTTGTCCACTCCCACTAAGCCCAATGTCTAGAACAGTTCGAGAGCTTAATAAATATTTATTGGAAAAAAAATACACGAATGACAAAGGAGAGAAGGAGAGAAAGAAAGAGAAGAACAAATTAGGAAATGTGAGATTAGAGTTAGAATTGAAGCTTTGCCACTGACAGTATGACCTAGGTCAAGTTATCTGAATCATCCTCTGCTCCTTTGACCCTAAAGGAAGCAGGATGAACAAAAACTAATGTTTAAGATTTCTCTACATCTATAATTCCATAGTAAGTCAACTAAAAATCATCAAATTATGTTTTCAAGATAATATCTCTCTGTGTCTCACTGTCAAAAAAAAACCCAAAGAAATTGAAAATCTAGGGTGTCAATTCTAAATCCCATTACAAAGCTGAAAAGTAACAGAAAATTACCTGACTCAACCAAAGTAAAATTTATCCTCTGCTCCTCCCCTTAAAACAGTTTAGAGAAGCATAGAAAAATTAACAAATGTGGATAATTTTGCTCCCATCAGAATTCACATTACGTGACAAGCAATACTAATTGTTTTCTAACATAGAATTTCCATCACGCTACAATTCAATATTAATCTAATCAACCATTTCAAAATGTGCTTCCTTTATCCAGTCTTTCATATCACCTATAGTCACTCAATTCACAACAAACCCTTAGGGCACTTCTGGGAAGATGGTTATCTTGTAAATCAATTAATTAATTTATCAGATACAGTAGAGCTGGCTAATGTCCTTCTTCAAGGAATATTATGCACATTTACCCTGAGTAATCTTCAGAAATCACAGGTTGTGGAGACACAGGATTATGCATGGACTATCCAATAGAGAAATGCCCTTTCTTTCATCACAAAAATTTTGCAAACTTTCAAGGCTGGGAACTCCTGTTTCTCTTCACGACTGTAGAACATTTGATGCTAGTTCTCAGGTCAGCTCACACTGGGTGCAAGCAGTCTAAGCTACACACATTTTAGAGCTTGACAAAACTAACCTTCCCCCAAAGCCCTAAAATTAGGAAAAAAGCTCACACTCAATGTGAAAGTTGTTGTTTGGTCTATTTATATTTTCTCAGATCTCTGCATCAAGTCTTATGAAGTATTTCACTTCTAAACCACAGGAAACAGGATTGTAAAATAGAAGTAAATGTTAAAGATTCATGGAGTTGGAAACTGGAAAATTTAAAGACAAAACAGTGACAGAGTTACAACATAACTAAAGGAGTAATCCAGATCATGGTATGCTTGGGGATTATGGTCCCCTGAGGTGCTGGGGTTTTGGAGTGGTTTTTTTTTGGTGGAGATTTCAAATTAAACATTTTATTAACATGGTAGTTGTATGAGGTACTGGAGTTTTTTTTTTTTTTTAAATGTGAAACATTATTTGGTGAGTTCATGACATGGATAAAAGAAATGCGTAAAAATTATCTCAGTTATTCACCACTGAGTATAGACATCTAATATAGCCAAAGAATCCCTAAAAATATGGCATTTGAAGTTTACTTAGGTAGTTTCCTGTGAGTGTATGTCTGGGTGTAGTAATGGCTCTTTGTTACGATTCTACTATGGAACAGACTTAATCCATGTATTCAATTTTACTTATTAGTCAGCCCTTCATTATATTTGATGACTGCAGTAGGCTTGTATGCTTTATTATGAATACATATGCAGAGAAATATTCATTTATAAATGAACAACACTGAGTTTTTT